ACACTGCACACGGAAGAAGGGAAAAAGGCAGACTGACACTGCACACGGAAGAAGGGAAAAAGGCAGACTAACACTGCACACGGAAGGAGGGAAAAAGGCAGACTAACACTGCACACAGACACCTCGCCTTGGAGTTGCTTTAGCGTGAAAGGGGCCTCTGATCCGCAGTTACTGTCATAACAGCAGAATCCACAAACTGTGATATATAGGGACCCCTGGCATGAGGAACAGGTGCAAAAAAATAATAGAAACGATGACAGGTACCTGGCTTCTCTTCCTGAGATAGATGGCCCCCAGCTGTCACAGAGAGGGCACATAGTTCTCACCTAAATTTAGAGACTTTATTGCATGAGGCTATAGCTTGGTGTAGTGGCCCACTGTGTGTAGTGGCCCACTGTGGTGTAGTGGCCTGCTGTGTGTAGTGGCCCGCTGTGGTGTAGTGGCCCACTGTGTGTAGTGGCCCGCTGTGGTGTAGTGGCCCGCTGTGGTGTAGTGGCCCACTGTGTGTAGTGGCCCGCTGTGGTGTAGTGGCCCACTGTGGTGTAGTGGCCTGCTGTGTGTAGTGGCCCGCTGTGGGACTCCCGTATGGCTAACATGCCCTCTGCTCCCCTTCCAGGCTCTGGAATTCCTTCTCTGGGCCTGCATCTGCCTAGAGAATTCCATTCCCCTCTTGAAAGCCCGCTTCCTGCCTTGGAGAGCAACACTGTACTGTGCAGTGTGCCAGTGCTACTGTGATCTCCAGGCCGGCTCACTGGCAGAGGTCAGGCTGGGGGTGGGACACTGGGGGCTGCCTGCAGGCACAGGTCTGCAGGTCGCATGTGGGCAGTATGTGGCTTAATGGATTAGGATCCTGTTCTAGTAATCAGACGGATGCTGATTCAAGTCCCGTTTTCCCAAATATGTTGTCAGTTGTATGTTGCTTTGCATAAAATCATCTGATAAATAAATAAATTGTAAATGTTGTGGGAAAGACCATGGACACCGAAATCTGAAGGTCGCTAGCTCAAGTCTCAGGGGGGGTGCTGTGATATCATAGCACTTGGGTCAAGGTTATTATTAATTTCTCCTGGAAAGTATCCATGAAGGTCTTTGGCTTTGGATAAAAGTATCAGTATAGCAATTGTTAATTGAAAAAAATTGCAGATGTTCCTCGACGTACAATAGAGTTACGTTACGGTGAATCTATTGTAAGTTGAAAATATTGTAAGTCGAATATAAATATGATATGATAAATTAAGTAAATAACTACTGTGACTGAATATATAAATATTTGGCTAAACACAGAAAAAAGCACAGTATGATATATTGATAAACACTATATGAGAAGTTATCACATCGTAAAGTCAAAATATCTCAAGTTGAACCATTACAAAGTGAGGAGCTTTTTATTGGTTTTGTGAGGTTATTCTTTAATGAAGCTGAGACCAGTATGTCCACTCTGCTCCTTGGTGCCGCTTTGCTTGGCAGGACTTTGCACGCCGAGCTCTGGACAAGGTCAGCGAAGTGGCCAAGATGGAGGAGATGCTCCATGCATCGGCATCCGGTGAAAGCTGTCATGTCATCCAAGAAGCGACCATCAAGGTGGGAACGGGGTTTCTGGAGAGGAGGGAAATGGAACGCTGAAGCCCTCCTCTTACTGACGGTCGCGGATGCTTGTTCTTGTGTTTGGTGTGTAGCTGGCAGTCATGCTGTTTAAAAGGATGGTGTTCAAGCCTCAGAATAACCCTAAGGGCGTCTTCAGGCCCAAGCAGAGGAACGTGCTGAAGGACATCCAGATTGTAAGCATCAGTCAGCCACGTCATAAAGCAGTGTTTCCTAAAGCGGGGACCCGCAGGGAGCAAAAACATGGACTGTCCACGGGTCCCTGAGAACTGGGTTGGGAGACACTGACTTAAAGCATTGCTTTAATAATGCTTTCAATGAACAGGATAACACAACTGTAACAAACATTATAATTGTATAATCAAATAACTTAAATGTATCCTGAGCTGTTGTCTCTTGCTGATGTCCACCCTCCCCACCCCGCCCCCCTCCCCAAAGACATCCTGGCCCCGCACGTCCACCGAGCGCTTGCTGATGGACCTGTTTGACTGCCACGCTGCTCAGCTCCTGGCTGTGATCGAGGCCCTACGGGACACCTCCCGTCGGCCTCTGCAGACGGGCCCCCCCCAGGATCCCGACGATCAGGAGGTGGTTCTGGAACTGCTGTCTGCGGGGGCCAGCATCCTCGGCGGTACATGTCCAGCTTGGGCTCACATGCAGACGCATGCTCGACACTTTTCAGCCAATCGCGCTCAAGCTTGGCTCTGCTTGGCTCTGCTTCTTTGTGCTCTGTCAGGTGCTCAGTTGGCACCTGACAGTCATGAGGTCACCCGTTATGTGTGCTTGCAGGCATTGGGGGCTCAAATGAGCGAGTCTCTAATGACAGCACCAGTATACCTGCTGCTCTGTGTGGCATCCACCTCTCTTCCAGTCTCTTTGAGATGGCAAAGGCAGGTGAGTTTCCAAACCCAAAAGGTCCACTTGTGGACCAGTTCTTGGGTTTATTGCATCTGAGGCAAGTAATCAGGGAGTCGTCAGGGACCGGGTTCTGAAGCAGCTGTCTGCATTGCCCAGCGCAGTGATGGTGTTTCTGTTGTTCAGGCAAGAACTGGGTTTCAGTGGACGCTGCGGTCGAGTTTGTGAAGCTGCTGTTTCGGTACGAGCAGTGGGCAGCATTCCGCTCTCTGGCAGCCCTGCTCATCCCAGTGCTGCAGGTAGGTCAGGTGTCAGTCACTTTCACACGCCTTCGAAAATCACGCTGAACTTCCTAGCACTGCAGTGTTGTGTTGAGCCTCTTGTTGAGAAGCACTATCTTCAAGCTGTCAATGGTGGCTCTATCTTAGATAATGGCTAATGTCCTGCATTCCATTGCTGCTTGTGGACAGTGGCGTTAGAAGGAGTTTGACATTGGGGGGACATGCGATAGACACACCATCAAAAGGATGCGATGTACGAAAGATTTTAAAATAGGCCTAATAAATATTTAATCTTTTAAAATATGACTAGCACTGTTTAGGGTGCTGTTTCACAATTAAACACAACTTCACTAGAAAAACAAAATTGTTGACCCCAAAACTGAAAAATGTGTTTATTATATGTTTTAGAGGGGCTTTAATGGTATCTACTGTATTCATCTAGGTTGTTCTGCTGGGAGTTGCCTAGTTCTGGAGATATCAGCCGTAGAAATGTCGGTCTTGAATATAATGGGACTGAACGGCATTCATTTTGTGGCGATTAAAGCGCCCGAAAAAAACTGAAAAACAGCAACGTCTGTAACCAGAAACCCTGACCTGGTCACTCAAGATAATTCACAGACTTTGTAGTGCGCAGTTTCACGTAGGAACTATTTTCTTCTGCTGAACTCCAGACACCAATCGTACCACTACACAGATGATAGGAGTGTGAGCACTTCGGCCCTATCTGCAGTGTAGTGATACACAGTGAACTGGCCCTTTCATTCGCCTTAACTGTTTAATCTGTTTCAGGGTAGAAATGTGTTAAATAGCAGAAGGGGTGGGGGGGGGG